ACAGGAGCAGGTCAGAGGCTAGAAATACTGTGATGAATAACTCACCTCCTGACTCCCCACAGCCTATCCACCATCTACAAGGCACAAGTCAGGAATCTGATTGAATACTCCCCACTTGGCTGGATGGATGCAGCTCCAACAATACCCAAGAAGCTTGACATCATCCAGGACAAAGCAGGCCACTTGATTTGGCACCACATCCACAAACATCCACTCCCTTCAGCACCGATGTTCAGTAGCAGCACTGTGTACTGTCCACAAGACGCATTGCAGAAATTCACCAACGATCCTCAGACAGCACCTTCCAAACCCACAACCACTTCCATCTAGAAGTACAGGTATAGCAGATACATGGGAACACCACCACTTTCAAGTTCCCTTCCAAGTCACTCACCATCCTGACTTGGAAATATAATCGCCATTCCCTCACTGTCACTGGGTCAAAATCCTGGAACTCCATCCATAATGGCTTCGTGGGTCAACCCACTGCAGGTGAACTGCAGCGGTTCAAAAGGCAGCTTACTACCTCCTTCTTAAGAGAAACTTGGAACTGGCAATAAATGCTGGCCAACCAGCAACGCCCACATCCCATAAGTCAGTATAAAAATTGCTGCTACCTCCCCACTGCTTGAAATAGAAAAATTGCAAGGCTTTAGGGAAAGACAATAAGATATAACAGCAGAATCAGGGCATTCAGGCCATCGCATCTGCTCTGCCATTCAATCATGGTTTATATGTTTCTCAACCGTATTCTCCTGCCTTCTCCCCGTAACCTTTGATCCCTTCACTAACCAAGAACCTATCCATCCCAGTCTTAAATACACTCTGAGCTGGCCTCCGCATCCTTCTGTGGCAATGAGCTCCAAAGATTAACCATTCACTGCTCACATCAGTTCAAAAGGGACGTCCCTTCAATCTGAGGCTGTGCCCTCGAGTCGTAGTCTCTCCAACTAGTGGAAACATCTATTCCATGTGAACTCTATCCAGGCCTGTTAGTATTCTATAAGTTTCAATGAAATCCTCTTCATCCTTCTAAACTCCATTGAGTACAGATCCCAGAGTCCTCAACTGCTCCTCACAGGACAAGCTCTTCATCTCCAGGGTGATCTTGCAAACTTCCTTTTGAAACCCTCCAATGCCAGCACATGCTTCTTTAAATAAGGGGCCCAAAACTGCTCATAATATTCTAAATGCGATCTAACCAGAGCATTATACAGCCTCAGCAGTACATCTCTGTTGGCAATATCCTAGCTCTCTTGAAATGAATGCTAACATTGCATTTGTCTTTCTAACTGCCAAATGAACCTGCATGTTACCCTTAATAGAATCCTGAAGTAGACTCCCAAGTCCCTTTGCGTTTTAGATTTCCGATGCCTTTCCCTGTTTAGAAAATTGTCTACCCCTCCATTCTTCCTTCCAAAGTGCATAATCTCACACATTCCCACATTATATTCTACCTGCCACTTCTTTCCCTGCTGTCCTAACCTGTCCGAGTCCTTCTACAGCCTCCACACTTCCTCAACATTACCTGCGCTCCTGCTACCTTTGTGTCATCTGCAAACCTAGCAACAATGACCTCAGTTCCTCCGTCCAGATCTTTAATGTGTAACGTGAACTTGTGATCTCAACAGGAACCCACGTGCAATTCCATGGCTTTCTCCATGCCAGTACCTTGCTCCTAATATCATGGGTTCTTATATTATTTAGACACCTCTTGTATGAAACTTTGTGAAAGAACGTCTAGAAATACACATAGATCGCTTTCTCTGGCTCTCCTTTGTCCAACTTGCTTGTCAGCTCCTCAAAGAATTCTAATAGTTTATCAGACATGATCTTCCGTCGACATAGCCAAGCTGACAGCCCTATTTTACCACACACTTCCAAGTTCTCTGTAATCTCAGCCTTAATAACAGACTCTAAAATCATACCAACAACCGAGGTCAGACTAACCAGCCTAAAACTTCTCATGTTCTGCCTCCCTCCCTTTTTAAATTGGGGTGTTACATTAGGCATTGCCCAATCCTCTGGCACCCTCCCTGACTCTAACGATTCCTGAAAGATCACCACCAATGCCTCCTCAGCTATCTTCTTCGGAATTCTAGGACTTGATCCATCAGGTCCAGGTTATTTATCCACCTCCAGACACTTCAACTTCCCAAGCACTTTCTCTTTAGTGATGGTCACTGCACTCACTTCTGCCCCCTGACTCTCGAAGTTCTAGCATGCTATTGGTGTCTTCCACTGTGAAAACTGATGGGAAGTACCTGTTCAGTTCCTCCACCATTTCTTTGTTCCCCATTATAACTTCTTCAGGCCTATTTTCCAGCAGTCTACTGTCTGCTCTTGCCTCCCTCTTACCTTTTATATACCTAAAAGAACTCTTAAAAACTTCTTTTGTATTACTAGCTAGCTTACTTTCATTGCATCTTTTCCCCCATATTGGCTTTTTAAGTTATTCTCTGCTGGTTTTTAAAGGCTTCCCAATTATCTGGTTTCCTACTCATCTTCACCACACTGTATGCTTTCTCTTTTGCTTTCATGCTGTGCCCAACTTCGCTTGTCAGCCATGGTTGCCTCGTCATCCCCCTAATAGGTTTTTTTCTTCCTTGGAATGAATTTCTGTTGTGCCTCCTAAATTATACCCAGGAACTCCTGCACTGCTACTCTACCACCTTCTCTGCTGGACTCCCTTTCCAATCAACTCTGGCCGACTCTTCCTCATGACTCGTAGTGACGTTTATTCAATTGTAATACAGTTACATCTGATTCCAGCTTCTCTCTCTCAAACTGCAGAATGAATTCTATTACACTATGGTCACTGTCACCAGGGATTCCTTCCTCTTAAGTTCCCTAATAAAGTCTGCATTCTTACAGAGAGCTGGGGGCCTGTGGTCATTGTAAAGTGTGAGCAGTAAGAAAAGGAGCAACATATTTGTCAAATTTTGCATATTTGGTAGGTTCCAATAATTAATGTCAATGCGTGGAAGTGTCTTCTGAACTTCATTCATGATGCATTACACAACTGCCATTGTGCCAATGGATGAAGCACATTTTAACCAGACCTCAAGTACCTCCCCCTTAGTCCGAATAATGATATAACATGAAAAACTGCTCAAATTTCATTAGCAGACTGCACGGTCAGTTGAAGGATTTACATCTAGAACCAGTATTTATACCAGGGCAAGGCATTTTGCAATGTCTTTGTGACCTTGTGCATTTGACTAAACCAACTGGTTCATATTCTTGACCTTTCTCCAAACTATGATAAATGAAGGAACATCAACAATGGCAGGTGACTCATTCTCAACTACTTCAGAAAGTATCTCCCAAGAGAGGCTGCCTTTAAACACCTCATTGTAAATTCAAATATTTGCTTCCAGCCGGATTGTTTTGCACGCTTTTTTTCTTTATTCATTCATGGGATGAGGGCGTCGCTGGCTAGACAGCATTTATTGCCTATCCCTAATTGCCCAGAGGGCAGTTCAGAGTCAACCACATTGCTGTGGGTCTGGAGTCACACGTAGGCCAGACCATGTAAGGAGGGCAGTTTCCTTTACTAAAAGGACATTAGTGAACCTGATGGGTTTTTTCCCCGACAATGGATTCATGGTCATCATTAGACTCTTCATTCCAGATATTTATTGAATTCAAATTCCACCATCTGCCGTGGCAGGATTTGAACCCAGGTCCCCACAATGTTATCCGAGTCTCTGGATTAACAGTTCAGCGATAATACCACTAGGCCATTGCCGCCCTCTTCTGTTATCTTATCAATCACATCAAACTCCCTGCTTCAGATTTAGACTTGGTCAAAATTAATGATGTAGTCTTTCTCATGAAAGGGGACAGGGAAGAAATCAAACCCAGCAAAGAGGGGTTCAAGAGAGGCAAGGTGGAGGGAGTAGGTGTGGTCAGGATGGGATTTGGGCCCCTCCTAACCCCACACTGGGTGTCTCTTCCCCTTCCCCATTCCCTATTCCTTCCATTTGCATCTTGGTTCTCTGCTATTGAACCCCATTTCAGAAGGATGTACGCTTTGATGATGTCACACTACATTGTACATGATGTAGTAGTATCTGGAAAGATGTGCATGCGTGTTTTCTGGTTTAATACAAACATGTGGCTGTTTGCCATTGTGGGTGTCAGCAAACTGTAGAGATATCAGAAACTGCTTTTTGGGAGAATAACACTAATAGTTTTGCAATTAAAATGTCCTACCACATCAAGACCAACAAGTGTAATAACAGCCACAGGCAGCAGCATCATCTGTAGTTTACTTCAGATTTTTCCATACTGCAATTTCCAGCTGCACTTACAGGTTGAGGATTCTAACTGCTACAGTCTCCTAAAGTACTGTGACCACTGACTGCACAAATATCTCAACAACAATCTGGTTTCCTACTCATCTTCACCACACTGTATGCTTTCTCTTTTGCTTTCATGGTTGCCTCGTCATCCCCCTAATAGGTTTTTTTCTTCCTTGGAATGAATTTCTGTTGTGCCTCCTAAATTACACCCAGGAGCTCCTGCACTGCTACTCTACCACATTCTCCGCTGGACTCCCTTTCCAATCAACTCTGGCCGACACTTCCTCATGACTCTGTAGTGACGTTTATTCAATCGTAATACAGTTACATCTGATTCCAGCTTCTCAACTCCTATTCACCAAAGATTTATTTCACAAATGTCATTATGTAGCATCTCATCACATTCTGAGAACATCTTAAAATGCTGTTCAAAGTGCACAGGTGAACAAATTCAGTACCAAATTTATATGCTGAAAGTTTGAATTTGAGAAACATATTAATCAACAATGAGATAAGCGGTTTTTGCTGTTGCTAATTGAAAGAAAAGTACAACTAAAATATATGTAATTTTACAAAATAAAGTGATTCTCTATTCATCAACCACTTGGCATTACAGCCACTCTGTCACACAGATTCTCTAAAAGCAGGGAGAGAAAAAGAGGACAGAAACTTCTGGTGACATTGATTCCTTACTTTGGGAATATTGCTGTCATCTGTGCAGAGGCAAATCCTTTTCTACAGCCACCTTCAGTGTTATTTCCATTTCTGTAGGTCAAATCTGTTGAGCTGGAGAGAGACACAAGCAAAAGATTAGCAACACAATGCTACAAAACAAATACACAGAATTAATTACAGTACACACATTTACAGCAGGAGGCAATTCCAAGCATCACACCAATACTCATGCTGTAAAAAGGGCAATCTACTTTGTCATTTTCTTGCAAATCCACACACTTTTTAAAAATATTTATGTTTCCCTTCTTAACAAAACTTTATGAATTCTGCTACTGACACTGCTTTTCAAAATCATTATATTCAGAAGACCATTTGACACATTTTTCCTGCATTTGTGTCAATCTCCTGCCTTTTCTCCCTATCCCTGCACACCATTTCTATCTAAATAATTATCCAATACACTCTTGAATGCCTCAATTGAATCTGCCTCCACCTTCCACACAGTGTAATTCCATGGGGGTAGCAAGAACTGCAGATGCTGGAGTCAGAGACACCATAGTGTGGAGCTGGAGGAACACAGCAGGCCAGGCAGCAGAGGAGCAGGAAAGCTGACGTTTTGGGTCGAGACCCTTCTTCAGAAAAAATTCCATACACTGACTACTTGCAATGTGAAAAATCCTTTTCCTCACATCACTCTTGCTTCATTTACACGTCACTTTAAATCTATGCCCTTTTTTACCACTTTGGTGGGCAGAATAGCTTCTCTCTAACTAATCTGTCCAGCCCACTGATGATTTTGAAAATCTCTACTGAATCTCCTCTTAACCTTTTTCTCTCCAATCTATCCTCGACACTGAAGTTTCTAATTCCTGGAACCATTGTTGTAAATTGCTTCTGCACTCTTTACTGTATTTACATCTTTCCTATAATGTGGCAACTGTACAACTGTACAACTGTACATAATACTCCAGCTGAGGTCTAAGAAGTGTCTTGTTCAACATCACCTCCTTGCTATAATCTAAATGTCCATTAATAAACATGAGAACATTGTATTTGTTATTAACTGCTCTTTCCACCTGTCTGGCACTTTCAATGATCTACGCACATATTAATTCAGGTCCTCAGTTCCTGCACTCACCTTAGAATTGTACCATCTTTTCTATTGTTCTTCCAACCAAAGTGCATCATCTCACACTTCTCTGCATTGGACCTCATCTGTCCCCTATCTGTCCACTCCACCAACTTGTCAATGTCCACAATGACCTCCTCTCAGTTTAAAACTCTTACAAATTTAGTCCCACCTGAAAACTTTAAAATTGTCTGCACACCAAGATCTAAATCATTAATATATAAACGGGGAAGGCACAGGTCCCAATACTGACCCTTGGGGAACTCCATTATAAACCTTCCCCCAGCCTGAAAAATATCCAATGGCCATTACACTGTTTCCTATCACTGTGCCAATTTTGTATCCACATTGTCACTGTCCCTTTCATACGATGACCTATAATCTTCCGCACAAGTCTGCTGTGTGGCAATGTGTCAAATGTCGTCTTGAAATCCACATATACGTAACGACACTGCTACACTCTTCGACCCTTTGTTAACTTTTCAAAACTTATAGTGAAGTATTTCATGTCCTGACAAACACTTGTTTACAAAAATTCTTAACTTTTTCCATAATTAGTTGGGTCTTCAATGCATGCCTCCGTTTACCAGCTGCCCAAACAATGGAAGCGGTTAATTTAGCTGCCCTTTCAAACACTCCAATCATACATACTTCTCTTGGGCTTCATCTAAACTCATGTCCCGGAGAGAGCAACCTTAGTTTCTCTAGCTTCTCTTTCGCATTATCAGCTTAACAAATTGCTTCCACTTCCTCACTATAGCCTTAATATCCCAAGGTACTTCACAGAAGTGTGATCAGTAAAAATTGACACCGAGCCAGAAAAAGGGACGTCAGGGAGAACATGAAAAGGGAGTGATCGAGATGGAAATGTTTAAGGAGGAACTTCAGCGCAAAGGGTCGAGAAGGCACAGTTACTATTAGTAGAATGGAAAAAAAAATTCAGAAAGCACAACTGACCAGAATTGATAGAACAGGAATGGACGAATGAATCAGATTATGGGGTAGAAGGAGTGCTAAGCAATGGAGTCACACAAGGATAAGAATTTAAAATTTGTGCCTTTGATGAACTGGTAAACATGATCTAGAATGGCGGGGCAGGCTCAATGGGGCTGAATGTTTCACTCCCATTCTTGTGTTCCTCTGATGGGATTGTCCCATGAGGGCAGATTCATGAAACTGGGCCTGTATTCTCCAGCGTTTAGAAGAATGAGAGACTCTCTCACAGAAATGTAATAGACAAAGTAGATGTCAAAAGGTTGTTTCCCTTGAATGTGGGATCTCAATCCAGTGAGCACAATCTCAGAAAAATGGACATGCCATTTAGGACTGGGTTGAGGAATAACTTCATCAATCAGCGGGTGGTGAATCTTTGGAGGGCTGTGCAAGCTCAGTCTTGAAGTTAAAGGCAGAGATTGGTAAATTTGTAGTTATTGACGACATCAAGGGATGTGCAGATAGTGCAGGAATGTGCCATTAAGGAGACAATCATCTATTGTCTAGGCCAAAACATCTTCAGCTGCTTCAATTACACTCTCTCCATCAAAATGTTAAAACTGCATATGTTAATCAATGATTGCATAATGTTTAGCACAATTTGCACTTTAAATGCAACCACACCTGGAGAATATACAGGCCAGTAGTGAAAAGTGGCAAGTAACATACACAAGTGACAGGCAATGACCATCTCCAACAAGAAAAACAATCTAACCAATCTTACTTGACACTACCATCGCTAAAACCCCAGCCATCAACATTCAGCAGGGGCTTACAATAGCACAAATGCAGAATTAGACTATCATATAAATACAAGAGCTAGGCAGAGGCTTGGAATCCTGCAGTGACTAAGTCACCTCCTGACTCCCCAAAGTCTATCTCCAAGACACAATCAGGATGTGATAGAATACTCTCCACTTGCCTGGATCAATCACAGCTCCAAAAACACACAAACAGCTTGACACAATCCAGGCCAAAGCACTTTGATTGGAACCAGATCCATAAACATTTATTCCTTCCACATCACTGACAACATAGTAGCAGCAATACGTACGATCTACAAGATGCAGTGTAGGAATTCACCGAGGCTCCTTGGACAGCACCTGCCAAACCCACAGTCATTACCATCTAAAAGGACAAGGACACTATCACCACACATCCTCCTGCCCTTTTTTAATTCATTCACAGAATTTGTGGGCATCACTAGCTCGGCCAGCATTTATTGCCTATTGCTTCAGTTTCACAAATCCTGGATCTCCTACCCTCAGGACATTGCATGGGTACCTATACCAAATCCAGTGAAATGGCTCAAGAAAGGGAGCTGACCACCAACTTCTCAAGGGCAACTTGGGATAGGCAGAAAAAAAACTACTGGTCTAGTCATCAACACAAAAGTCCCATGAATAAAATAATAACTTAAAAGTACCAAAGCAGATGTAAAAGTGCTTTCTATACTAGATGAACAAAAGGAGGTACTGCTCAGTCAAGGCTGGCATCATAGTTAAGTACTGAGAAAATATTACTTAAAAAACCTATCGTGACAAATATCATGTCAGATTGCATATCAGATTTCACATCCACCAATTCTTCAAACACTGGTGTGAAAACTAATTAATTGGTCCCATCTCATTTGAGATTTGTGAAATCTTACCAGAGGTAAACCATCTATTACTTGCATAACAGTGACTTATTGGATGCCTTCAAGAAACTCACATTAAAAAGGGCATGAAAACTACTATGGGAAAGCAATAAAAATTATGAACTTGTCCTTATGCTATTATAATAACTATAATGAGGACTAGAGTCCTAGTATCAACTAGAACTAGAGGGCACAGCTTCAAAATAAAGGGAAGCAGATGTAGGACTGAGGTCAGGAGGAGCTTCTTCACCCAAAGGGTTGTGAATCTGTGGAATTCCCTGCCCAGTGAAATGGTTGAAGCTATCTCGCCGAATGTTTTTAAGGCAAGGCTAGATAAATTTTTGAACAGTAAAGGAATTAAGGGTTATGGTGAGTGGGTGGGTAAGTGGAGTTGAGTCTCAAAAAGATCAGCCATGATCTTATTAAATGGCGGGGCAGGCTCGAGGGGCCGGATGGCCTACTCCTGCTCCTCATTCTTACGTTCTTATGTTGTAAGCTCACAGGAAACCCATCTTGTGTGCCCTGTATCACCTGACGAAGGAGTACACTCCAAAAGCTTGCAATTTTAAATAAACCTGTTAAGACTATAACCTAGTGTCGTGTGGCTTCTGACTTTGTCCACCCCAGTTCAATACTGGCATCTTCACATCATGACAACTGTACCATTATTGATTTAGCTCAAAAGGTGAGTAAGTGCCTTTTAGTAGAGGTCAATGATTATAGCAAGGTAATACAGTATTGTATTTCCATTCCAAACATCCCCCTTTCTGTACAAAAAAATTACATTTATTGAAAGTCACCAACCGCACGATTGTTCTCATGCATTAACTGTTCGTTATTCTCATCAGTTCCTGCACGTGCATTCCACAATAGTTAAATCAAGCTATCTCTTAATGCATTGTCATTGGTCATACAGCTGGGTGATCTCCTTCTCCTGGGAGTGTTGTTCCTACATCACTTTTTGCTACTGTGGCAACTACAGTTCAATCTCCATTAAGATGTTATGGACCGCTGGTACTGATGACCAATCTGTGATCTATGCAAATGGCAAATTCATTCACAACTTCCTGATCGTTTACGTGCAGTGAAGGAATAACTTCTGCAGTTGCACTTTTTTTGCTTGTGTTTGTAGCCTGGTATCTGGTCACTTAATTCCACCATATGAGATGGAGACAAAAAGTGCATTTTGTCAATGCCACGTTACTACTTGGGCTGAGTCAAGTTGGAAACTTTGAAGGTTCGTAACCTGGCTGACTCTCCAGTGCTCAATTCTGACAATTGTTTAGTGGTTTTGTCAATATGAAATCAGGATTTCTGTTGTTTAAGATTGTTTTTCTCATTCATGCCTTT